CTACCACTACCACTACCACCACCATTATCGTCAAGCTTCTTCTTATGTTCTTTATTTGTTTGCCCTCGCCAGTGTTGCGTTGAGCTTACCCCTGCATAGGTCTTCAAGCCCAAAGCCCTATTCTAGCCACAATATCCTCAAAGCTTTTCGGTAGCAGCGTTTGTGCCGAAAACTTGGATACATCATCGCCGTATGATGTCCTATATTACACACCAAAATCCAGACGGAGGTATGCAGGTTTCTATTGGAGCCCGCAAGCCCCAGTCCAAGACCTACACAAATCCATTGCTCCTTAGCTACTCAGCTTTTGAAACAAGCTCCAAGGTCCCCAGCATTCATTCTTTTATCATGGCTACACATCCTAAACCTGAACCCCAACCCCTCAACTCTCAATCCTGGATTTATTAAATCATATTGTATTATACTTTTATGTATATACTATAATATACTATAGAATACTATAAGATACTAGATTATACCATAAGAATCTGAACATCCGTCGGGTCCTTGAAGCCTCGCCTGCTCTCCGGCTCATGCCGTCCTGTGGCCGGTCCGCGCAACGGCCCCGCAAAAATCCCTGGCGGCGCCTCCAAGCAAGGATGGAGCTCTGAAAGTAAGCGCTAACCCCGCCGAAACCCTATGCAGGTTGGATATGAAACTCCTCAAGGGGAGGGGTTATAGAGGATTATATATAGGGGACTATCACAGGCGCTGTTAAGGGGGATGCTTGGAGTTTAGACTATGGATCAGATCTCGTGGTGAGGATGTAGTTTGAGGTGCTCTTTCCACGTACTGCAGCAACTGGAGTCCATGAGCCTTGAAATGCTCAGCCCCCATTCTTACGCACAAGACTCTAGACCTTGGATCTCGAATCCCAGTTCTCCAACCCTTAAGCCTCTGCGCCTTGCTGCTCCCAGGGGAAGGAAATTCGCCGATGTCCCGGGCTTTTCCGTCGGCACGTTCTTCGCTAACATGGCGTCCTGTGGAAGCTTGGCTTACAGATTGTTCCGTTCGATAGCTTCTTCTCAGTAATGTACAAGCCTGCAGAATCACAAACATGTGTGCCCAGATGCCTTGCAGAGTTATGGTGTAGGGTACCTCAAATACGCATCACAATTGAGCAGGCAACAATTCAGGCTCCCAAGGATGTCAACACATTCAGGGGCGTTTGGGTGTAGGGCTTTAAGGCCTAGGGGATGTCGTTAGGTTCCCCAAAAGAGGCAAGCCGAGTCGTTTGTGATCCCAAACTTGGGGCTATGCAGCGTAGATAGAGTGTAAGTAGGTGCGGACCATACGGGACTATGAAACCTGGAGGAATTTTAAGGGTTTGTCTGAAGAGTAGGAGTGCTGCTCAGCTAAATCTTTGCAAAAGTTCTAGCTCGGGTGTCGGCGTAGCTTGTACTGTAGCATGCACTATATATATACATATATACATATATGGGAAGTTCCCAAAATGCGGATTACACATCCAGACTGTCCAGTAGGAGAGGAGGGGCTCTGTCTCTGGGGTCCCCTAGACCACGGATCCGACAAGGGGCGGCGCATTTAGTCAGAAATCTTTAGATGAGACCTATCTGGATCCCAACAGCAGGTGAAATAGTGGCCCAAAAGCCATAAACAGAGCCCAAAAGGCTATGATTCTACACCATTCAGAAGTGTAGGTAGGTTCTTGCGCTGGATCAGGAATCCCCATGTCAGTAGTCTTCGAGTCAAGATTTCTCCTTTTTGACGCCAATGTGTAGGTTTGTATGCTGACTTCCGAAAAGAATGAAAACGGTTTGGACAGTAGTCTCTGTAGTGCCTTTTTGGTCGTTCCATGTTTTTTGGGGGGAGGGTGCCTGCTTTCATCCTCCCGCGCTCCAGGTATTGCAGATGCCAATCTTCCAAGGAGGCACACGCCCTTTCCAGGGATGGCTCTCAGTTGGGTACCGCCCTCATTGTACCAGCTGGATAACATTCTTATTCTATTTTTATATTGCCCTTAACATGACTACTAATATTGACTGGTACAGAGTGGGTGCAGCACCCAAGCTTTCAGCAAAGATTCTGCTGATGCTTTTACGTATGCTGCAGATGCCTGCACGGTGTTACGCCACATGGCTCCAAACACAGTTGGGGATGCCAAGAAGTGTCGGCATTTTGGGGAGCACCTCAAAAATGATTATGGCTTTTTGGAAATATGTTGAAATTCGACTGATTGTAACCAGCTTAATGAAAGAAGCATCTTTCTGGGAGATATGTTGGCACCTACACGCATGAGTATCATAGCCCGGCAGCCTAGGTATGAGAGCCCGGTACTAGTTGTGGACCCCTTGCACAAGGAACAGATTTGAAGCGTCGTTCATGTATCCCATTGTTCAGAGAAATCACGCTTCGTCATGATTTTGGCTTGAGCCTTCCGCGCGCTCGCAGCCCCTCACATCCCACACCTCTCTTGAAGCCGCAATGGCGCTTCCCATGAAGAAGCGCGGCTGAACATGAGGATTGAACTCAGGGAAATTCTCAAGTGCAGAGATCAGGGAACAGCTTCGTGGTAAGAAATAGCTATACTCGGCCCATAGTGACTTGTGATTTTCGTCAATCTCAGCTGTTGGAACCACGAGCGGCAGCCAGATTGTGAACCAAGAGCTAAGGAGCACGGCCATGAAAAAGGCCATGAAGGCGAGCCCAATGAAGGCCAAGGCTATGAAAGCAATGAAAGCCATGAAGGCCGGTCAGACTGGAATTTTGATATCGAATTCGTATGCGGCTCCATGTTGTCGAGACCCCATCTAGAAAATTTGTCGGGCTGTGGTGCCCGCGCAGTTTGCAAGATTCAACGTCCATTCCTAAGATGCCCTCACAGGAATGCCCAAGTAGGTGTGGGGGCTGCCGCCATGTTGTGAAGCAGTTGAGTTTCATTTGGCCTGTGATCGTCAGCTAAGACTTCTGAGGAAGCGCTGCGTTACGTTGCCTGTAGCTTTGCGGTCTGGAGGTCATTAAAAAGCATTTGCCTATGTGAAGGTTGGAGTACATTTCAAAATTCCCCCCCCCCCGCCCCCCGCCCTCCCCCGCGAGGTCATGAAGAAGAAGGCCGTGTCGAAGATTGCCCGCGGCAAGCTGGCAAAAAGCGCGGTCTTCAAGGGCAACAAGGACAGCAGACCCGAGGGTTATGTAGGCAAGCTCTCAAAAACTGAGTCCCAGGTGTGTGTTTGCTTGCCATTGGGCAATTGGTCACTGTTCAGTATTGATAGAGGAGCCCTCAAGCAATCGAAGCCTAGTTTCCAAGAGTGACTGTGCAGCGTGCCCCCTTCACATTTTTCTGCGGAGTCGTTTGGGTTATTTTGGTTAAGGAGAAGACGGCCACAGGCCTGAAGAAGTCTGACCTGATGAAGAGCAAGCGGGGAAGGGTTGTGACCAAGAAGCAGCATGCAAAGGGCAAGGCCCTGTTTCAGAAGTACGCCCAGCGATGGCTCGATGCGGTGATGAAGGCTCGGAAGGAGCTGGGCGTCAAGGGCTTCTGTGCAATTGGCGGCAAGAGCGCACAGGGAAAGGCACTTTACGCCAAGGCCAAGGCTATCTATGCTGAGGCCTGATGCTGAGGCCTGTGCGATCAGGAGATGTCTGCTTTCGTGGTAGTTCATGGAGCAGAGAGTCCTCACCAGAGCCTGCTAAGCGTGTACAGCTGGTTTTGTGACAGCGCAAAGCTTTGTTCAGAGCTCGGCGCGTCAGAAAAACGTGGTTGCCGTGCGCGGGGCTCCCGCCTTCTTTCCAGACAAGGTTTCAGTCGCTGGTGCTAGGGAGGAAGGGGTAGGAGGGCGAGGTGCTGTTCGAAGTTGTTTGACTGTCGGACACGCATGCCGTATGCCACCTTCAAACTCATGTACAGCATTGCGCCCAGCAACACTTTCAGACGTGCTGTTGGAGTAGTAGCCGCGAAGAGGAAATGTTGTGTTCTCATCTGTGTGTCAGCTTCAGATATTTGACCTTCAACATTTTTGGCTTGAGCCTTCTGTGCGCTCTACAGCCCTTTGCACTCGTCCTCACTCCGAGCCATGGCGCTTCCCATGAAGACGCTGGGCAAAAATGTGCAAAAATTGAGTGGTGGCATTCGTGGATGAGTGGGGGTTTGGGTATGAGGCGTTCCCAGGATATGAGGCAGCGAGTACGGGTTAGCTGGTCTCGGGATTCTTGGTGCTAAATAGAGAGTTGAGAGATCTGTTGATTTTACCAGGTTGCGTTCGAAGAGCTAAGGAGCACGGCCATGAAAAAGGCCATGAAGGCGAGCCCAATGAAGGCCAAGGCTATGAAAGCAATGAAAGCCATGAAGGCCGGTCGGACTGGAATTTTGATATCGAATTCGTATGCGGCTCCATGTTGTCGAGGCCCCATCTAGAAAGATTGTGGGGCTGCGTTGCTGCCTTTTCAATGCTGAGTTGTGGAGTTTGCAAGAATTATGTACACTAGTTTTTCTCACGTTTGTTCAAGTTTTTGATAGGCGAGTCCAAGCAGGTGTGGGGGCTGCCACCATGCCGTGAAGCAGTGAAGTTTCATTTTGCCCTTTTGGCCTGCGATCGTCAGCTAAGAGTTTGAGGAAGCGCTGCGCTATGTTGACCGTAGCTTTACGGTCTCGAGGTCATAAAGAAGCGTTAGCCTATGTGAGGGTTGGGGTACTGTTCATTTCGAAATTTGAGAACTCCCCCTCACCCCCCGCAGGTCATGAAGAAGAAGGCCGTGTCAAAAATTGCCCGTGGCAAGCTGGCAAAAAGCGCGGTCTTCAAGGGCAACAAGGACAGCAGACCAGAGGGTTATGTAGGCAAGCTCTCAAAAACTGAGTCCCAGGTTTGTGTTTGCTTGCCATTGACTGTTCAATATTGATAGAGAAGAGCCCTCAAGCAACCAAAGCCTGGTTTCCAGGTGTGACTGTGCACCGTGCGCTCTTCACTTTTGTTTTTGTGGAGTCGTTTGGGTTATTTTGATTGAGGAGAAGACGGCCACAGGCCTGAAGAAGTCTGACCTGATGAAGAGCAAGCGGGGAAGGGTTGTGACCAAGAAGCAGCATGCCAAGGGCAAGGCCCTGTTTCAGAAGTACGCCCAGCGATGGCTCGATGCAGTGATGAAGGCTCGGAAGGAGCTGGGCGTCAAGGGCTTTTGTGCAATTGGCGGCAAGAGCGCACAGGGAAAGGCACTTTACGCCAAGGCCAAGGCTATCTATGCTGAGGCCTGATGCTGAGGCCTGTGCGATCAGGAGATGTCTGCTTTCGTGGTAGTTCATGGAGCAGAGAGTCCTCACCAGAGCCTGCTAAGCGTGTACAGCTGGTTTTGTGACAGCGCAAAGCTTTGTTCAGAGCTCGGCGCGTCAGAAAAACGGTGGTTGCCGTTCGCAAGTTTCCCGCTGTCTTTCCACATGCTAGCAGATCTTGTTTCGTTTGCCGATTGCTTCTGCCTGAAAACAGTCGTAGCGCCAGGGGCTTCTGCGAACGAGGGCGCCACAGCCGCCTGGCCTACCTGAAGCGGACAGTAGCGTGGTTTGCTTCAGGATGGTACAGGTAGCCTTGCATGAACATGGGAGCTGAACACGGCACGTCCGTTCCACGCATGAGACACGCCCCATGAAGGACAAGGACTTAGGTTTTAGGATATAGGGTTTAGGACCCAGAAGTAGTTGTCCTAATTCCGTGCTTTTTGCGGTTAGTGCTCTTGCCATTTCTTGGCAGCCAAATGAAGCTGCGCGGACGAAGGTCAGCCGCGAAAGCGCTGTGGTCGGCCCACAAACGCCATTCGGCCGGAAAGGTTCATGCGTGCTATAGTTTAAACTCCTAACATGCAGAGCCACTGGAGAGGCGGCATATGATGGCATAAAGCAGGATACGTTCTGCGACCCTACTTGGAGGGTCACGGGGACTTAGTAAAGAGGGAATTATATTGGGCATAATTGGGGTTATTGTAGCTGGATTGTGGACATTGTTGAATTGCAAGAAGTCAGGCGTATCAGTGAAAGAGTCTGTCATTCCATGAAAGCTTAATCCTTTCCCCCAGTACTCGCATCACCCACCCGGGAAAAATAAATGTTGTGGCCATCAAAACATGGTACCATAACCCTAAACCCTGTATTGGGAAGATGTGGGCTTGATTATCATCAATGGAAGGAATCCTCAGCAACTCCCACATGAACCACAGTCTAAACTCCTTAAAGCACGCTTATACGGGGGATTATACAGGGGACTATAATAGGGGTTATGAAGGGAGATACTAACCCCACCTTGTAATAGCGTACGCATGGTAGGGTTTTGGGGGTTTAGGGTTTAGACCTTAGGGAATAGGAATATAAGAGGCCCTTTATATGAGCTATAGTCTAAACTCCTAGTATCCCCTGTAATAACCCCTATTTATAACCTGTATGATCCCCTATCTAGCCCCCTTTAAGGAGTTTAGACTATAGCTCCTATAATCACCATTATCCGTCGTAGTTATTGTTACTTGGGGAGTCCACCAAATCTGTTCTTGTGCGGGTCCAGAGCTTGGCATGCTCTGCAAGAAAAGCAGGATAGCTGTTGGGTACTGCCCCCACTCTGTAATATTCAGAATATAGTTTCATATGAGCCATAGTCTAACCTCCATGTGTAGCGGATTAATTATGTAGGGGGTTATATAGGGGAGTATCATAGGGCTTATCAAGGGGGATGCGATGAGTTTAGACTATAGCTCATATAGCCTGTAACATGACGCATAAAGTAGATTGTTACAGCTGGGGGCAGTACCCAAGATAGCTGTTCGAGTTGTAGCCCCAACGTTTTTGAAAGGTCTAAGGTTGGCGCTTTTGGTTGAAGGTTGATGCACAAGCAGAAGCAAAGGGTCACCGTCGGCCACAGAGATCCCTGAACGCCCTGTATGAGCCAGAATCTAGACTCCTTAAAGGGGGTTTTCTGGGGAAGTATTATAGGGGGTATTTAGGGGTATACTACTGTACGAGCTTAGACCATGTAGCTCATATGGTCATCATGAAGCTTACAGCAGCTCGATGCCGAACACAAATCATTCACCCATTCTCTAAAGCAGCCAGAAACCCATTCGCAACATGCACTGAGGTCTTAAGGCCCGAGCTGATAATCCAAGCCCGAATCCTTAGAGCTGAATGCCTGAAACCCCAGAAGCTTGTTAAACTACAAGTGGCCAGACACACATATATATATATATACATATATAGGGACCATGGGATCCCACAGGAAAATTTAGTCATGGGTTCCCTCTCAATCAGCCCATATCAACTTCACTTACTTAAGCTTAAAAGCCTAAATTCAGGGGCGCTATAATAAACCTTTAACCCTAAAACCTGTGTGGATATATGAGCTATAGTGTCAATTCCTAGTAGACCCCTTTATAACCTCTAAATATCCCTTTAAGAAGTTTAGACTATGGCTCATATGTAGACCTATATAACCCCCATATATACCCTATTGTAATGTAGTCGTTTCCATTTTCTTTTCCATTATCTCTATATAGCCTATATATACTACAGTAGTTTCCATTTTCTTTCCATTATCTTGTATAACCCCAAGATACTATAGTAGTTTCCATTTTCTTTCCCATCATCTCTATATAACCCCAATATACTACAGTAGTTTCCATTTTCTTTCCAGTATCCCTATAACCCCAATATACTACAGGAATTTCCATTTTCTTTTCCATTTATATACCCTACTTTAACATATAGTGATATTACCCTTGTAAAACCTAGTAGTTTCCATTTTCTTTTCCATTAATATATCCTACTTTAACATATAGTGGCAAAACCTGGATGTTTGAACTCTGAGGCACCGCCTCCCCGAGACTCTGATGTGGAGCGGCCTGGCTGAGGGTGTTGGTTCCGGGTTTCTGACGCTTGTGCCTGTTTTTTTTTCTTATTGTGGTTTAGGGTTTACAAGGTTTATAGGGTCTATAGGGTTTTAAGTGTTTATAGGTTTTGGGTTTACAGTTTTTCTGGCCTAGGGTTTAGGGTTTTGGTTTCTTTCATAGGGATGTTCTTCTTTGTGAGTGTGGGGACCACTAAAGGATGGGTTTAGGGGCTGCTGCTTGGGGAGGATTGCGCTTTCTTGCGCCGAGGGCTTTCATCGGTCTAACAAAACATGGGCGAGAAGGACCCCAAACTTGAGCTGCATAGAGCTGAAGTCAAACAACGCAACAGGCACTAGACGCTGAACCCCCTATTTCAGAAGGCCCGGAAGGTCCAAAGTCCTGAAGTGCGCAAACTCGTTTTGGATTTTAGGGTTTAGGGTTTAGCCATCGAATCCCAGAGCCCTTTGACATTGTGCGCTGTGCCGTAGTTTCCGAAGCTACGCGCTGAGATTCCTCTTAGTGGGTGGTGCGTGCATGAACGCATGTAACAAGCTTGGGAAGGACCCCTATCGCATAGACCCTCAAAACCAAACCTCAAATCCTTTGAACCCTATAGCCTTGAATTGATTTCCAAGCCCTAAGCCCCAAACTCAAAAGTCTAAGCCCCAAACCCTAGCGCCAATTTATCCAACACCTTAAAAAAGGCGTCACTATGCTTGCAGCACTGGGCATTGGCTTGTGCAACTTCGGCACAGCTGGCTTCTTTCATATGCGCTGTAGTAAAAACTCCTGAAAGGAGGATGTCTCGGGTTCAGGGTTAAATAGGTTATACAGGGTTTAGGGTCTAAAAACTCCTTGAAGGAGGATATACATATATATATATATAGGGATTATATAGGGGATCGCTATAGGGGTTTATTAAGGGGGATGCTAGGAGTTTAGACCATGGCTCATATACGTATTGCATCAGGACCTGTCGGTAGGACTAGGGTTCAGGGTGTGGGGTTCAGGGTTTACGGTTTAGGCCTGAGATTCTGTTTGAGTGACATTCCTCCAGGAAACGGCTTGTTAAGCCATATTTGCCCAATGAATCCCTATGGGGCTTCAATGGGACCATGCAGCTGAACGCCTGTTTGTGTCATGAGCATCCATCTGCCGAACAAGAAGAATAACAATAATAGTAATAATACTAACAACAACACTTCTAGTAACAATGATATCAACACTAATAATAACAGTAGTAGTAGTAGTAGTAGTAGTAGTAATAGTTAGCACCAGTATTAAATAGCGTATGGCAGATGTTGACATGTCGGGTTCGGTGCATGTGCCAAGACCCCCTCCCAGTTTGCGTGTTCAGTTCCAAAGGGGCACTAAGTTGGAGGTGCGACCTCGCGCGCGATGTGTGAGGACTCGAAGCTTTTGGGTTAGAAGTGCGCGCGAGAAGTTGGTGGTGCACGCTTGACAAAAGTTGTGCCAAAAGGTTCCTTGCGAATAAACAGAAACGGTGACATTTTTGGCGAAACATTTGGTAGAGGTGAATGCTTGCGCAGTGACACAGTTCCATTGAAACTTCATCCGCAGTTTGCTGAGCCTCTCTTCGGACACATTTTGCCAACACCGTCAACAGCCTGAAGCTGAAAGCCTGACGCACTCCACAGCTGGGGCCAGTCTCCACACTCCCCGCACAAGTTGGTATATCCGCACAAAGTGGCAAACTTTGGTGGGATGCGCCGCCACCAACCAGTTTTGAAAAGGCCTCAAACCGTTGAGCAAGTAGAAAGCCAGCGGTTATCCCAAGCACCCGCTGCAGTGTGCTGGGCTGAGGTCATCCTCTAAGAAATGGCATGAGGTCTGGTGGGGTTGCGCGTTGCCGAGATTGCTCACTCTACTGCGCCAGGGATGTTCCCCAGGAAATGCTTCTGCCTTCCTTGTTGAACGCCGTCCCCTTGCCTTGCTAGGTGCTCCCCCTTCACAAAAAAGGAAAAATGGCATAGCATTGTAGTCCCCCCTAAGTTAAAAAATCTGCCTTTGGATACCATGATAATAATATTCCCATATACCCCATATTCTATCTACTTAAAGGGGGCCTCTAGCAGTCTCCGAAAATCCCATCTTCTTTTCGTGGAAGCCGCCAGGGATGATCCTTGCAATCCGGTGCCTTGTCCAGCTGAAGTTCCAGACCATGCACCACGCTCTGCACAGCTCTGCAGGCTGGAGATGGTATTAGGGTTTTATTGGGGTTCTATTGTGATAATGGAAAAGAAAATGGAAACTACAGGGATTATAGGGGTTATATAGATTTTTGGGTTTTATTGGGGTTATATTGGGATAATGGAAAATAAAACGGAAACTGTTTTAAATGGAGAATCAAATGGAAAAGAACATGGACAATTAAAAGGAAACTGGGATTATGCTGGGTTGTATCGATAAAAGCAGCGGCAGCTACGTATTCTGACTGAAGTCCCAGAGCTGTGTCCATCTTACCTGTTCTTTTCTGGTTGTTGTGGGCACGGTTGTAACAACACTTGTTATTGTATATCACACACACTAAGGGTCCACGTGCCCAAATATTGGGGCTTTGTAGTTCCCTAAAGCCTCATTATTTGGGTACTTCTACACTGAGGGGCACAGTACCCTAGGTTTGACGTCGCGCATCGCAAAACGCTTTTGGGCGTGTAGTTTTGGGAATGTGAAAACTTCAACTCTTCGGGATACTGAAGGGTCCTGTGTGCAGACGCCCTGAGTGTTTTTGGGCTTATAGTCCCCCTGAAGTAGATAGAATATGGCTTCAGGTATATTATCCAATGTACCCCTTATCCTATCTACTTAAGGGGGACTATAATGTTACGTTTCATTGTCATTGTCAGCAAACCAAAGGTTCACGTTGGGAAGTGGTTTCGGGTTGATATACGCATGCATTGACGCGGTCAGATGTTATCATTTTCAGGTATGTCTCCCAAATCGACTTGTGGGGCTGCAAGCAAATTCACATGAGTAGTATTTTATTTGGGGATACTATGGTACCCAATATAGAGTAAGATCATATCCTCCTTTTGGGTCTAGTATTTTTATATAAGGAATATTATCTTACTGGGTTCCACCACCAAAAAAAGCTACTCACATGGTCCTGTGGATGATCATGTATGTCACTGCCATCCCAGACTCGCTCTGCAACTCTCCAAATCCTGCGTTCTAGGTGGCAAAAGTGTTCTGGTTGGATTTCATTGGACGTCTTCCTAAATCCTGCTTCCTAAGTGCATGCAGATCCACCTGGTGGTGTTAATCACGTACATCCCTGTCTCACTGTAAGGAATCAAAGGGACCTAGCTGTGGGAATCTTTTTTTTGTCAGTCTAAGGTTCGAAGTCTGGGCCCCTAAGCGTGGGCCCATAGGCCTTTTAGGGGTATTCTAGGGACCCTTACGAGTACACACAGGGTATATAGAGATCTCAGGGTTAAGGGTCCATACTAGGGGCCCATGGTGTCAACCTTCGCGCTCTAAACCCCAAATCCTACATCCTAAATTCTAAATCCTAAAACCTAAATCCTCCTAAACCCTACCTCCTAGATCCTAAACCCTAAACCCTAAATCCTAAACCTTTAACCCTAAACCCTACTTCCTAAATCCTAAACCCTAAACCCTAAGAGTCAGAGGTGGCACCTGGACCGGCGTGGCCGCCCTGGCTGGCATCTCGACCTTTTACGCCCTGGTAGGCGTCTGCCTTATACAGCGCCTGGGTTTGCATGGTTAAGGTTCAGGATTTAGGTTTTAGGATTTAGGGTACAGAGTTCAGGTTGGGTGCTACCCCCCACCCCCCACCCAGTGACAGCTGGATATTACATGTACTATGAGTGTGTATATATATATGCGTAGAGCCCGCAATATGGCCCTGATTAAGGACGGTGTAGTTTAGGAGTTAGGATTTTGGTTCTAGGATGTAAGTTGGGTCAATCCCCCTATAGTAATAGCTCCTTCATATGGAATTCATAGCGACTTAATATGTCGTGCAATAGTCCCTTTTGGTACCCATTACTGCGTGGGGGATTGACCCAAGATTTAGGGCGCTGCATCACCCGGTGCCACGATTACCCGGGGCAATAAATGGGCATCTTCCCAAACCAGGGTTTACCTGAAGTGGATCTCCCACCCTGTAATAGTGATTATCAGGGATAATACAGTAGTGATTATGTTTGAGTCCTCGTATATTCCTATTATACCCCTATTGCAGGGTGGGGGGTCCTCCTAAGGTATCCCCCTTAAATAGCCCCCATATGCGAGACTCCTCATTTAAGGGATGTCCGGAAGAGCAAAAGGGGCACCAACTGTCACTCCTCATATTCGATCAAGCAGTAAGTAGTGGATAAGCCATACGGGCTTCTTTTCACATCGAGGGATCCTTTCTGAGGCCTTAGGGTTCAGGTTTAGAGTGACAAATTGGGAGGAGTGCTAGCTGGAGTTAGCAATGTCCGACAAGGGTGGATGATGACATTACTTCATGTAACTACCATCAGAAGACTTCTTTCCATTTGCTTTTCCGTTGGGTTCTTCATCATTGGGGTAATGTCCCTAACCCTATAGAACCCTTGTATTCTAAGCCTAAATTCCTCAGTTGCCCTTGGCTTTTGAAGGATGACTGGTTCACTTGTTGAGGAAGTAGCAGGTGGGCCTTGGAGGGTCCTTGTTTTGGAGTTTTCTCAAAAAACCAGGTTAATAACCCCTGTAAGCCATATAATAACCCCAATTATCCCCATTCTTAACCTACTTACTAAGTTTCTCAACCCTAAACCTTAAACCGTGTAGGGAGTGTTTTTTTTTTCCTTTTTTCGAAGCTCGGAGGTTCTTGCTGTAGCTCATTCCCCTCCCCATGCTACAGCTTCATGAATTCTCGAGGGACTTGGATAGCACAAGGCATAATGCCCCTTGGCAGAACTCAAGATGAACTAGAGAGTAGCTTCCATTTTCTTTTCCATTTTTACTATATAACCCCTATATAACCCTAATACAACCCTTATATAACCCCATTATACTATATAGTAGTTTCCATTTTCTTTTCAGAACTTTCCCTTCATGCTTGGAGGTCCATGATTACCTAGAGCTATAGGGTTTATTTAGGGTTTAACCCCAAAATCCAAAATCCCCGCCTCCCTGAGCTTCCATGTGAGCTATGGTCTGAATTCCTAGTATCCCCCCTAATAATTCAAGGGTTTAGGGTTTAGGATTTAGGGTTTAGGGTCTAAACGCCTCTTATCCCCCTTAATAGCCCGTGTAGTACTCCCCCATATAATCCCCTTCAAGCACTGACTTTAATACTCCCCCAAATAATCCCCTATAATCCCCTTCAAGCACTGACTTTAATACTCCCCCAAATAATCCCCTATAATCCCCTTCAAGGACTGACTCTAATACTCCCCCATAGAATCCCCAATATAATCCCCTTCAAGGACTGACTCTAATACTCCCCCATATAATCCTTAAACCCTAAAACCCTTAACCCTAAACCCTAAACTTTAAACCCCTATATAATCCCCTTCAAGGACTCTGACTCGTGTGAGGTTCTTCGCGCCCAGCTGCGGTGGCTCCGGCATCCCTGAGAACAAAGCTTTTCTCAACGGGGCAGTCATGCCTGGCCTCTACAGCCCCTTAGCAGGGTGTACAGGTTTCAGGGTTTAAGGATTTAAGGGTTTAAGGGTCTAAGGGTGTAGGGTTTCAAGGCTTTAAGGGTTCAAGGATTTAAAGCTGTAGGGGTTTAGGGGCGTGATCATCATATGGTCCTGATCCTGGAGGTTGGAGTTACACGAATCCTCTTATCAAGCAGTGATGTTGCACGACGTGCCTCTGCGTGATGCCCATGAAGGCCTGCGCAGATTACATTGTTCTTCCTTCAGTCAGCACATTCCGGAACACAGTTGCTGTGTTAGTTGTCAGTCGCTTTCTTCAATCGCTGCCTACTTCGGAGAAGCCAGCTCCGAGTAAGATTCCGTTGCCATAAGGACATCTTCTTACTTGAGCTGCCGGACTAATAGTCCGCCGTTTCGCAGCTGAGGGGGCACCTTAGGATCAACGCTACACACACACGTATATATAATATATATATATATACAGCTATATACATACCAAGGTAATCCCAAATGTCAATCCTCAACTACATCCAGTCTCACACCCAAAGCCCTAAACCCTATCCTCAATGTTCGATCGGAATGTGCGAGGCCCAGAAGTCTTGACCCCTAAAGCTCAAGCCCAGGCACGCGCACTCTGGGAATTCGAATTTGCACCAACGCCTCTGGGTTTACTTGAGGTAAGGCTTTCTGGGAGGATCTATCCGAATTGAACTGGCTACTATCCGCTAGAGCACTCTCCGAAGTGTCAAAGCCCTGGAGCGTAAGAAGCAAAAGGTCAGGCGCAAGTGTAGAGAACGCATCATGCGCCTTGACCCAACCGTCCCTCCTGGAGCTCCCATCCTTACGAAGGACTCCACTACTCCTCCCCGAATCCCGGCATGTACCTAGGATTCTAAGGTGCCTTTGCATATCCTGCGGGATGTTACACATCTTGAATGAGTGCATCGTATGGTACCAGAACTCCTCATGTCCAGGGTTCTTAGGATCATGCAGGATTGCTAGTATCATAGGTAGCTCTAACCCTAAACCTCATCCTACACCCTAAACCCCAAACCCCTAAACCCTTAACCCTAGACCCCTAAACCCTAAACCCAGGTCTTAGCGAATGCTGCTGGCTTTCCTGTCGGACGTGAAGGTCCCATGGTGAGCATCGGCAGCAACCTCTCTTTTCTGCTCTGCCGCTGGGCTGCTCGAAGCACGGGGTGTTTATAGGGTTTAAGGGCGTTTAGGGCACAAGGGCTTAGGCAAAGGGTGTGAGGGGTTTTAGGGTTAATTAAGGTTTATGGTTGAGGAAATAGGGACTAGATGCTCGAAGTACGGGGCGTTTTACTTCCTAGGGGCTAGTACGGAACAAGAGAGTATGTTACACATGGGTTATTTAGCGATCATATTCCCTTGTTCGCTACGAACCGCTAGCAAGTTTAGGCATTTCCCTGCACAACATCCACTATCAAACTCATCCTGCTAGGGGTTGTCCACGTCCTGCTAAAGGTAGTGGTACCTGTGCAGCCTAGTCTTCTTGCAGGGACGTGTGACGTGTGGATGTTGGGCTGAGCCACCAGTGCAATGAAGCCCACCACCCTGCATGCTCAAACTGGAAAATCCTCACTCTACCATTCCCCATAATATAATATGCTGTACTATCCCATAATATACTCTCTGTCCCATTCTTCTGCAATATCCAGAAATTTACTTAAATATCCCTCCTTCAATCCCTTACCCCAAGCCCCAAACCAATCCTGGCCGAGCATGAACTTTCACTTTGCTGGAATGTGGATCTAGGCCCTGTAAGGAGTAAAAGGCACTTCTTAAAAGCCGTTGAAGCCTAGGAAGCCTGCGCCGGTGCGCAGGTTCCGAACTTTGAATCAACCTTCGAGGGTTTAGGGTTTAGGGTATGTCCCTGAAAACTTGCACCCTAAGCCCTAAGCCCTGCAATCCCAAATACCAGCAGCTTGCCCTAAATTCCTGTGCCCAAACCCAATCCCAATGATCCCGAAACCCTAGAATCCCCTGAAACACTATAACCCTATAAACCTTAAACCGCTATAAACCCTAAGCCCCCTCAAACCCTAGAAGCCTACAAACCTAAGCCCGACGCCCACAAGGCCGCCACTTCGTGCAGCCCTACGTCCGCGAGTGGGTCGATGTCTCCGGGCCGGGTAGTGCCCAGGCCTGGTGGTGGGTAGGGGTATAGGATTTAGGGTGTGGGATTTTGGGATTTTGGGGTTTAGGGTTTGGGGTTTAGGGTTCAGGGTTTTGTGTTTGGGGTTTAGGATGTGGGGGTTTATGGTTTGGGATTTAAGGGTTGAGTTCTGGAGTGTAGGGTTTGAAAATTCGTGGTTTGGGGTTTAGGGAATTACGGGCTGGTGCAACGTGTCAAATAAGAGATTTCTGACTCTTTCAGGAGGGCTTCTTTAGGGGCATAGAGAGGCTAGGCAGAGTTTAGGGGTTGGTCTGATTTCGCAGGCTGTCTCAAAGGGGTCTCTGTGGCAGGGCCGGCCCCGCATTACTTCAAGTCAGGCATCTGATTTTCTAAGGACATATGGAAGTTTCTTAAAACTAGTCGTAGAGATTCCTTGGTAGGGAGCCCCACATAAGCCCTTTGTAGTCCCTGTGCATCCCTAGGGTCTCTATATGGGATACCCAATTCACCTTATTGATGGTAGGTAGGGACAGGAGGAATAAATCACGATAAGTAGTCCTCATCCAATCTCCGACCATAGTCACCCCTTCCTTCTTCCCAATTTAGAACCTACGTGCATGATGTAGTCTCTAGTGTCCATTTTCCTTTACATCAGCTTTTGCAACTCCTACAGCCCAGAACCGTATAGTGGTCTCCATTTTCTCTTCCACCCCCCCAAAACCTAAACCCTAAAGAAACCCCTATCTATAACCCCTATATAATCCCAGTTTCCATTTCATTTTCCATTTTCTTTTCCATTTGATTCTCCATTATTGGGGTAATCTATAGAAGTTTCCATTTTATTTTCCATTAACCCCATAGCCCTAAACCCTAAACCCTAAACCCTAAACCCCAAAACCCTAAACCCTAAAGAAACAGTGACCCATTTCAAGCCAGGCCCTCCTAGTGGACGAGCAGCGCCTGGCGCATGCGACGCGGATATCTTGCAGCCTTGTGAACATGAGGTATAAATGGTAGTTTCCTAAAATTAGGGGTACCTTTTTGGGGCCCCCATAATAAGGATTATGGCATATTAGGGTTTATATTGGGGTCCCCTTATTTTGGGAAACTACCAAATGGAGGTTTTGAAGCAAGGGTGTTCCTCTAAGTAAGATTGTAGAGTACTGGGGTGTGTAAATCAGGGGGACCTGCATAAAACTTGTTCTAGCTAGCATCTGCTCTGATAGCCTTGAGAGGGTAACACGGGCGTTTCTGTACGTTACGTTCCTTGTTTGACGTTTATGTGTTGGAGGCCACAATGTTTCTTCCACAGCAAGGACTTTTCAGTTCAAACGATGTGGGAGTGACAAATTCTCCCCTTTTGCCCTAAACATGAAATCCTAAACTGGACGACCCTAGGTACAGTGGGAGGCGCTTGTGCCATCGCATCCATCTTCAATGCGCCCTTTGGCGGCCTGCTCTACATGTTTGAGGACTGCCATGAAAAAGGTGCAGGTGCAGCATGCAACTTTTTCTGGTGTTTCTTATGACCTCAAAACCCGAAACACCTTCACTCCCAAACTCTGAGCTCTCCAGCAACACTGAATTCCATCCCCAAATCCTGAGCCCCCAGAGACACCTGCCAACTCCGAAGCCCAAAGCCCATGAGGCCGCCATCGACCCTAAACTGGCCCCAAACTGGGTTGATGTTGAGGCATTTAAATTAAGTTAAGACAGTACAACAAGTAAGCCCTAGTTACTAGATTCCCATATTCTGGTGACTTGAATTACGTTCCTTTACAACAACCCGGCCAGGAAGTAACATCGTTGGCATGGCCTTTGGAGCTTACCTTCCGGGTTTTCGTGGCCACCATGTTCTGCTCCTGGGCTTTAGGGGTTGGGGGTTATATAGGGGATATATAGGGGTAACGTGGATAATGGAAAAGAAGATGGAAGCTACTAAGTACCATTTTTCGGGTTTAGGGTTTTGGGTTTAGAGTCTAGGGTTCAGGATTAATGGCTAACAGCTTAAGTCTTTTTTGGTTAATATTCCTCCTGCATCAGATTGCAACAGATAGACTTTCACCCGCACGCCAGTAAAGGACTCAGGCTCCCGATCTTCCCTGTCCTGCACCCTACTTCGAGGGTCATGGGGACTTAGTAAGTAGGTTAATAATGGGGATATTGGGGTTACTATATGGCTTACAGGGATTATTAGCCTAGTTGCTAAGTCCCCTGTCTCTCCAAGTGCCCGTTTTGGTTGACGGTCTACGGGCTTAGGGCTTACAGGTGTTTATCATGAAGGCCTGTTGTACAGTTCCCCCCTCACCGCTTACGACCCTCTCCTAAACATGAGGCTTAAGTAGCCCAAATTAGGCTGTGGGTGGGTGTAGTATAATGTAGCACTTCAGAATCTTGTTCTTAGTGTACGAGGAGGGGTACCAGGGTCCTGGGCCCCAAACCACAAACCCTAAAGTCATAAACGGTTTTTGGTAACCCCAACCCCCAAAATAAGGACCTTATGACTATCATCCCGTCCAAAGTGCGCGAAGTACTGCTTCTCAAGCAAGAGCCGGAGAACGGATCAGAGAACAATCTTTATGTAATACCCCTTCTCCCCCTTATCCCTCCCTCGAAGGTTCGTTGCTTTCCTATGGCCTCTGCAACCTTCTCGGCTCTGACATCACAGAGTTCGTGATTTACGCAGAGACGCCCCAGGACAAGAAGTGGGCGTGGGGCGGCCGGGCAGAACATGCGATCCTGTACTTGAGCTTCCTACCTACTGTTCCTACAGTCTCCTCCTTTCAGACATGTGCCCTGCTGAAGATGACGATGTTGATGTTGATTGTCATGAAAATGGCCATGATTGTGCAGTTTGTATCGCGCTCATGTCTGTCGAGTTCCAGCCAAGAATGCAGGCACACACCCCTAGCAACACCCAGGGGCAGTGTTCTCAGGTCTATGCTCTCTAAGCTAAACCCTAGACCCAGGTGACGTACCAATCTTCGTCGTTCTCGCCGCCACGCTGGGGGTGGCCACCTCTCTGCACACCAGGGCAATGCTTGCGGTGTCGGAGTGGAGGCCGGTTAGGGCTTCCCGGGGTGTGTAGGGTGTAGGATGGTGTAGAGACTTAGCTTGAAGGGATTTGGGAATTTAGGGTTTCGGGCTTTAGGGATCTACAGGACTAAGGGGATTGGTGGGTTTCTCAAAAAGCGGGCCCTAAGTGACCCTGGGAATCCATGGGGAGTGGGACGAAATTTGCTCAAAGACCCTCCGTGCGAGGCGAGGCCTGCGGGCGCAGTGGAGGCATTTGCAGCCCTGGGCTGTACCTTTGCCTTGAGCAAGTTTTTCTCGGAGTTTATTGTTTGGAGAGTGCAAATGCAAGGTTCATGGAACCTTTTTGAAACAAAATTCCAGATCATGCAGGTTGGAAATAGGTGTTCAAACTAAGAGTTCTGGATTGCCGACGAGGTTGATAGGTGGAGGTGATGCACTTGGCCTGACATTGGAGTTAAAGAAACCACCGCGTGATGGTGCAAAACCCAAAGCTGGCAAATCAACAAAGTGTGGCCTGCAGGACGTGTCAGATGCAAGTAAGATAATAAGATATTCAGAATGGGAGCTGACTAGAAGGGCAGGGATACCCACAACGCGGAGATAAGACTAAGATTTGTGCACCGGTCTAGCCTCGGCTGATTTTCACGCGGTCTACCTATTCGTGGCTTCCCACACGGTACCCTGGACCATGCTCTCCAAGAGGCTACCAAGATTTGGCAGAAGCCGCAATCAGACGTCTCAGGTGATTGTTGAGACGGCTCTGTATGCATCGCTCACGGCTTTCCTCTCCATGTTCCTGGGCGACAGGGTTTAGGGACCACCCTAGGGCTTTTGGGAGTTGGACGGTCTGGGTTAAGAAATCTGAGGTTAGCAGATTTAGTTTGTTGGGTTATGGCTTTGGGGTCATGGTCATTGACGACATTCCGTACATCCCTTGGTCCTGGAGTCCTGCATGCAATGTGACGCCAGAGATCTTGCGGAAACTCATTACCCTTGAACTTCCAGGTTGCACTTAGAGCATTCTGAATCCTCTGCAATGCCGTGTTGCTCCGGGGGGGGAAAGGTTGCCAAGCAACCCTTTCAGAGAATCTAGATTTGCATCGCCGGCATTTCACGTAGATACAGGGCTCCAGCAGGCAGCAAGAAAAGCACACGTGTTCCTCTTTCCCCCACAGAAGCACTGCGCCCATAGCCGTCACTGCACATGGAGATGGGCCTGACTTTGTAGAAGTCGTGCCCTTTTGGGAGGGTTCCCACCTGTCTAAGCTAGCTTTTGTTTAATTCAGGAAAAGTCTGGCACGTAACGGCCCACTCACCCTGTAATCTCTGCAATCTCCAGGTATCCCTGTGGAGCCATTTTTTAACCTTGGACCATACTGCAACGTACGCAAGCTCCGACGTGGTCAAAACAAGGGTACCCTTCAGGACTCTAAACCCTAAACTTTAAACCCTAAACTAGGGTTTCTCGGGGTTCCTCTTCAGGATTATACTACACCCTAAACCCCACAGACAGCGAGTCCTAAACCAGGGTTGAACAACTGCCACATGAACTGTAGTCTAGACTCCTTAAACGGTTTCTGCAGGGGATCATTATTAGGGTTTATGCAGGGGCATACTGGGAGTTTAGACTCTAAACCCTAAGCCCATAAACCCGAAACCCTAAACTGAACTTCTGACCTGAGGCTGGTGTCTTTCCTTGCCGCCTGCACGGAGGCCTCCTTGAAACCTCCTGACCCTGGAGTTAGGTACCGTACTGCATCATCTCATTGTATACCAGACCCATATCAGCTGTAGTCTAAACTTGTAGTATTCCCCCTAATAATCCCTATATAACCTTCTGTAAGGAGTTTAGATTATGGAGCATATAAAGCCTTGCTAGCAGTCCCTTCGCTTAGCATTCCCGCGTCATTCCAGAGGTACAGGATCAGGGTATGTTGAAAAGGTTACTAACTGCAGTAAAGGATTGCAACGTTTGCTTTGCTGGGGTAGGTATCAAGTGCAGCAGCTGGCCAGCATATGTTTAATGAGGTATGTGTTTGTGGGGGTTCGGCAGACTGCTTCGGTACGAGTTTATTTCGCGAGGATCCGTCCGTGATTTGCACCCTACCTTTGGTAGACGCACCCTCCCCGGCGCCAGGAAGGCCAATCAGGACTGGAGTATGTGGCCTTGAACTGTCCAGAGGCGCGGGAGGGCTGGGAGATTTACCGCAAATGCAGCTACAATGCTGCTTACACACTGACTTCCTGCGCGTGTTTCCAAACATGTGAGACCTCAGAAAGACGTTTGTCAGGCTCACTGGCATGGCTGAAGGGTTGTGAGAGAATCTGAAAGCAATGTTCACGGCTTGCGTCCACTACACGTGCCTGTAAGTTCCAGGTCAAGGCATGTAAAACAAGTTGTGCATGGTGGAAGTCGCAGTCGCGGAGGAAATGCAAGGACAAGAAAGTATGCGTTGTGGTACTGGTGGTGGTGGTGGTGGTGGTGGTGGTGGTGGTGGTGGTGGTGGTGGTGGTGGTGGTGGTGGTGGTGGTGTCGGCGTATGTGTATGGTGTAGTCCGTTTGCAATGACCGCTGATACCGAAGGCAATGCCGCCGTTCTCAACACTTCTGGTTTGCAGAACCCCAGAACACGACAAGTCTGGATGGGTGTAGTTGTGCTAAGACCCAAAACATCCGGCGCAGAATATTGACGATGATTGGGCCATTGCCTCCCATAGACCATGATGCGCGTAGCCCTGATAAGCCCTGCACATCCCTAAACCCTAAACTCCTAAACCCTAAACCCTTGTAAGCTGTGAAAATCGGGCAAAGCTACCCAGGGGCAGTACAATCCCATTGCTTCTCTTCTCGTGGCGACATCGCACAGCGTCCCGGCTGGTTTATGTGCCAGTGGTCTCCAAAGGGGGTTATATAGGGACTAGTATGAGGCTTATTAAGGGAGATACTAGGAGTGTAGACTACGGCTAAGATGAGGTTCAGCAGTGGAAGGTTCAGCTTACTGGTGCTTAAGGGAGAGTGGGTCAGCGGATCTTTGTAACAATCCCATTGTAATTCCCAAATAGGTGTCTTGGGAGCTTCTTTTCCTAACAGGTTCTCAGGCGTTTACAGGGGACCTTACTTTAACATTTTGTCTGGCAGACACGAGACTCATTGGGCTTACTCCCCCAAATTGGCGTGGGACCCCATATTATAGGCCCTTCTAGAGGGCACGATGATCTTTCTGGGCTCCATGTAAGATGGGGAGGTTGAAGCCCTCAACCCTAAGCCCAAATCCTAAATCCTAGCTATGATGATCTGTCCCACGAGGTTCGGTGAAGCTGCTCTTCTCCGGAAACAATGCTGGCTGATACCTCAGATGAGCCATGGTCTAAACTCCTACTATCCCCTAATAAACCCTGTAATAGTCCAATATTGGATCCCCTTTAGAACCCCTTTAAGGAGTTTAAACAATACCTCGGATGGGGGGTTTCTCATGTTGTGATTCCATATTCTTGACATTCCAAGAACATGATTTTGGTAAGCTTTCGGTGCTATTCAGGGTATGGGTGTGCATTGGAAGTGGACAGGGCACTCAAGAGGTCAGTAGGCCGACAGCAGCAAGGACCCTGAGTTCATTAAATGCAGCTTAATACCTAAACCCTAAACTCTACACCCCAAGCCTTGTGGGTTTGCGGCTGCGCAGTATAGCGCCAGAAGATATTGCAACGCGTGCACAAGTTCAGGGAAGAATCCCTATTCTTGTAGAGGCCCCAGGAATACGTCAATCGGGGAAAAGATGGGACAGTGCGGTGACATTCCACGGCCTATGCCAAGCTCTTTTTTAAACCAGAGCGCGCAAAACCTTAGAAATCGCTACAGTTCAGATCCTCCTGACAGCCAATGTGCTTCGACGCCAGGCTCTCAAAGTCCTGAATAACATAGATCCCAATATAGAGTGAAATTATATCCTCCTTTTGGGTATACTATTCTACATGCAAAATATATTTTACTGGGTTCAACCACCACAAAAACGCTACCCAGGTGAGATTCACTGTGCTTCAAGCCTTCTGGCTTTCCTGACCTACAGCTCGCTCAACATAGGCCAGACTGCGGGGCAGTCAATCAAAGCGCGGACGGGGGCCCTATGCATATATAGGCATTCTGATAAGGTTACATGCTTTCTCCTGAGGATTATGTCTCGCGGGGAAAATCCCATGCTGTCGTTACAGGTAGTGTTGTCATGCACATGGGTTGCAACCTTTTTTTGCGACAGTCTTTCGCTTGCCTCTGCTTAGTTGTGTTAGGAATTTGGTGGGCTCGGTGGTGGCGGCAGAGGTGGCGGCGGTGGTGATGGTTGAATCCAACACCTCCACTAGCGAAAAAAAAACATGGTTAAAGAATAGTACGATGGGTACTGACAACAGGAGTAATGTGTCAACAAGTGTCACCGGTTCTAGCCAGGGTTTCATAGACTCCCGCTGCATTGTACCCTAGCCCTGTTCAAGTCTCACCTTTCCGTTAACACTGTCTATCTGGCTAGCGAGTTGCAGTCGACCCTAGACTCTGAAGCCCAACATTCAGTAAAGTCTTGCTGACTTTTAGCCCTAAGCTTACTGGTTCGTAGCAGGGAATAAGGGAATGTCATCCCAAAATTACCCCTATGTACTGTATTCCCATGTTCCCTGCTTGGCCAAAGTAAGTCAAGCCTCTACAGACGTTCAAATAAGCTGCGCGCTTCAGGCTTGGCAGGGCTTCCCGTGCCCGGAGGTGCCTTTACAGCCGCCCGTCTTCTAGTTAGAGTTTAGGGTTTAGGGAGATTGTTACCTGAAGCCTTATCTTCCAAGAAAACTACTGAAATTGTGCGAGTCCCCCACCCCGGTAATGTCAATTCAGCTTCAGGGCGCAGGCTTCTGTAAAGCATCAGCGTGGAGAATGGGTACAAGCAGCTCCATGCGCGCGAAAATCTAGACCAGGCATCTGTGCTTTTGATTTTAGACCGCAGCTTGATGGTTGACTAGTAGTTGAGGGAAATTCCCCGATTCAACCCAATACAATCGCATATAGGCTTATATAGCCGCTATATCCCCTGTCAAGGGACCCTGATACCAGCCTGGCCCTACTTCACCTCCTCGGAGTCAGCTTCTGTCGTCCTCTGTAGCTGCCAGAGACTTTTCTGGAAATGACCAGGCAGGCAATCTCCACTGAATGGAAGTCCAGAGTGTAGAGGGGGAACCTCTGTACGAGGCCACTATGCTCATGGGCGGGCTGTTCGGCCGGTTTGTGGGCGCCCTCTGTGGTGATCTCGGGCTCTCGACGACGGTCTCAGGCTCGTGGTATACGGTTGTCAGCATAAACTGGGTTGCTGTTAAGGAACTTAAATTAAGTTACCATAATGGGTATATATACTAAATAATAGGGTTTCCCCAATATGGTAACTTAATTTAAGTTCCTTAACAGCAACCCAGTAAAGGGCTTCT